ATAAAATGACGACGGGCAGTTGGATGTTTTCGCGTCCTGTTTATATCACTTTTTGCTCTCGCCAGGCCCTGAGCGCAAGGATTTATTAGTATCGTTACTGATTGCGACGGGAAAACTGAAAAACCACCGTGGACGTGATTGCACCGTTATGATAGCGGTGACGTGGATGACTAGTATATTTTCTTAATTTACGGGTCATGACATATTTTCTTAATTTACGGGTCTTAACATATTTTCTTAATTTACGAGCTCTCTGAGGCTCATAATTCCGGTTTTTCTCATGTTACCTTCATTATCGCACAGGATAACAGAAAATTGACCTTAAAGGAGTTAGTAGCAGCGCGCGCAGGATTGCTGGTGCCATCGTACGTTTCTGCAGGAACTTTGAAGCAGTCAGATCGTTAGCAGTATTAATGGTCGTTGTTTTACGGTTTGACATGTGCATTCATGTTGGCAGTATTTTCGGTCCTTTCATGCATGGGGGGAGAAGGGGCATCGACTAGGGCGGTAATACTGCTGACAATACTGCACCCCAAGTTTGCTGGGGAAAAATGCAACACTTCTGGTGTCGCGTAAGATAGCAACATTTTGACAAAATTTTTGCCTTCTCGCCTGTCTTATTGCCGGAGGGTGAGGATGACAAAAATGTTGCAGTTTGAAATTTGGTGTGCCCAGCGCATTAATAAGTAAAGACTCCGTTTCGGATAATTTTAACACGTATTTGCTCTGTAACCAAACTGAGTAAGATTCAGCAGTTTTATGAGAAAACTGAGTCTTTATTTGTTAAATTTTGCGTTTGCGGGCCCGTGTATGAGCGGCAAGTATTTTGGTTGAAATAGTTTCCCGCGCAACCTAGTCCTGAGCTGACATTCTGCCAGAGAGGTCTCTCAACTCAGACGTGTCGTAAGCGTGACGTCCCCCTGTTAAAATTGAATTTGAAATTCACTTGGGGATAGGGAATATACATGTGAAGTCCCAGCTTTTTATCTTTCCTGGTTCCTGAAACTGTTTTCTCGCCAAAAATTTACATGCTATTTAGGCGCAGACCTAAGTGTACATAAGGATTGTTTTAAATTAGCCAGATCACACGCGTACTAGCATCCACATGAATTTCAGCTTCCTAGCTTCTCGGATTACTGAGTTGAAAATGGATGACGAAATTCGAACACCCAACAACAGTTTCTTGTCAAGAGATTTTTTTTTTTGCATTCTTGTAAATATGCAAAAATGCGTAATCAGAATGTTCAATGAAAATCATTATCTGAACACTTGCGTCTGGAATAATGGGACAGCTTTTTTTTAGATTCGAACTCCCGATAATCCGCAGCAGTGGCCGCTTTTGGAAGAAACCTCTCCACCCATTGCCGATTCTAATACCAAAGCAATCTTTTCATCGAATCTCGCAGGCACTGCACCGTCTGATGTATCTCGGGCAACTGCAGCGGCGAAGCCAGTTGAGACGGTGACCGTTCCTGCAACAGTACAAACTGATACGCGGGCATCTGTGACCTCAGACGAGGGGAAGGAGAATGATCGGGCTTCTGAGAGTGCCAAAAAAGCAACTGATACGGAGAGAGATAGTAATGAGAAGCGCAGTGGGAAAGCGTTTGCGGAAAGGGTTTCATCAACGAAGGGCAGCAATGAGGGCGATGGCACTATGGTTATGGATGGTGAGCAGCTGGATTCGGAGCAAGCAGAAGTGGAGGACTGGCAAGAGGTTTTTCCCTTCTCAACATTTGCACCTATATTTTTAGCAGTTTTTTATTTCCAGGAAATGCTCTTTGCCTGACTTCTCAAAATCGCTGTTTCTCCTTCTCTTAATTTAGCCCTAACGAAGCAGCACATTTTCCAGGTTAAAAGTCGAAAGCAGAGGAAGAGTAAAGCTACTCTTGGCGCCGGTCGAACGG